GATTACTATCACTGATGCATGAACATATAAGCAGCACTTGCTATATGCTATATAATGTTGGTGAGATTAACCATTATCAGCTGATTTTACATTTCATGTCTATAGGTTTTCCCGATGTATATTTCTACTTGGTAGTAACTGTAGAAATCAAATAAATCTAGTGAGAAGAAATGTAATGTAGCATCACATGGAACAACTCATGTCAAGTACGAGTACCTTCAAATTATACTTAACTGCAATACTTCAGAAAATATTTACTATATGTCACTTTGTGTCACTGCCTGGGATCTGGTCCCACTGAGCCCACATCCCATCACCCCCCCAAAACTGCCTTGGAAGCAAAGCTACACACACACACACACACACACACACACATATGGACTAATCTGATCCCCCCCCCCCCCCATGAAGATTAGCTGATTCTAGAAAAAGCAGGTCAGCAGAGCAAATGTGCACCAGTGCTGAGCGGAGATCAGATAGGAGTGCGTTCTCAACAGGGCTGTCAATCAATGGCCCCACCTCGCTGACTTCTTCTATTCTCCCGTGAAAAAGGCCCTCTCCACTTGTCAGGGGACGCACTGTGCCTGAATGCAACAATGAGACCTGGATCAGTCCGGAAAGGTTTTTTTTTTCTCGATTGTGTGTCATGTCAGAAGCGGAGCCTCCACCGATTACGGCGGGTGTCATCATCATCATCCCACAAGGCCTCAAAGAGTGAGGGAGAGGAGGAAGTGGAGGGGAAGATGTTGTGGGGAGGGAGGGAGGCGTTGGTGGCTGCACTAAAGGAACAGGCAGCTCGAGTGGGAACTCTTGTACTTGTCAACACGACTGCATGTTACTGAAAAGTGTGAGGCAGGTGTGTCTGGGTTCAGCAGAAGCTGGAGGCGAGGCAGCAGCAGCAATTATGACAACAGCAGCGGCTCGAATCACAAACAAACGGGTGGAGTGGGACAGGCCGGCTATATTACTTTATAAGGCAATAAATGAGGCGTCACTGTGGATCCAAAGAGGGAGGCTCTGTGTGTGCGGTGTAAGTGCTTCCACTGCAAGTTTGTGAAAAGCAAATTCATAAGAAGGTCATATTAAAGCAGTAAAATTCCTGTCATAGATTTTAATATGGTGTCAGTCTAAATTAAACTGCCATTTAAATACACATCACTTTTACACTCAGCCACTCAAAATTTGAAGTTGGTGCAAATCGGTGTCATCAAAACCGGGACTTCCCCTTCAGACAAACAACATCACGTCATGTGATGAATCTTAGATGATGGGGGATATTCCCAGGAGTTTCCACCATGTTTGGGTGATCAGGTCATCTAATCTGAACAAAAAACAAATAAATAAATGGACTCACAATTTCATTATTCAAGCTTCGTATTTTACAGCTCAAAGAACTTGAGTGTGTGTGATTGACCTGATATTTTCACACTGACTACATGAAAATTACTTTTATTAATGTCTACAAATGTCTTTTATTTTTAGACAACTACATTACTTAATAATGAATTAATATGACTGAGTTCACTTCAATCAAAGTTTTGAAGAAACTTGATTAGCATGAGCCGTCTTCCCAGTATGCATTTTTTTGTAGTTTATTAGTTTGTAGCTTTTTTGTGTTTTCACAAAAAGTTCTGACTGTTTCTCTTCACAATAATTAAAACAACGCAATCCACGATGAAGGACAGAACTCAATTCAGTCAGGTTCAGGTTTTAAGATGCACCAGTACATTTTTCAAATTATAGTTTCATGGGGATTTTTTTATATATCTTTATTCTAGCAAGTATCATTTGTGTTAAAAAAAGACTTTGCCTTATAATAACCTTGCTCAAAATGGTAAAAATAAACCTTCTAATCATTATTTATCAGGCTTAGTTGTTCCAAGGCAACCACTTCCTAAATTACACTGAATAATCAACAGATTTCAACAGGACTTTTTCACAGGAGTCATTTCTACTTGTCATAGCAAGAAAAGCACAAGCGTTACTGTAATAACTTTAATGACAGCTCTGCTCTGTTCAAGAGTCCCAGTCAGGCACAACAGTGTGACAGTGATGCAGCAGGAACAGAAACAGGTCTGTGAAAAAGAAGACGCTAAGTGGAAGTTTCAGCCATCATTCATTTCATTATTTACTCCTGTATCATAATATCAGATCATCATATGTCAGAACATATCTGTACAGAAGGCCTCAGGCTGACCTGGTCCGTTTAAAGGGGAACTGCCATTTTGCACATACTGATCTGTTTACAGGTCCTGGGGAGTAACATTACTGCCCTGAGCCTACATGGGGGAATAGCTGTTTATCACCTCTAGAGGGAGCTGTGGGATCTTCGCCTCAAATGTCACTTGAGTCAGTTTCGGTTGGACTGAAAATGACAAATATATATATATATATATATATATATATATATATATATATATATATATATATATATATATATATATATATATATACAAATAAAAAGAAGTGAGTTTATGCACTGTCGAACATTAGGCTATTCCAATTAGTGCTAACCTCGTAGTTGCTCCGCATTACAGGCTAATTTAGCTTCTTGTGTTAATTGCTGAACTTAGACACAACGGAAGAAATTGTACAACTTTACAGCAAATTAACTAATAATGACAAGGAAAAGTTTAGGTCTTCAAGACAGTTTTTTTCAATGTCTGTCTTCGAAAGCAGGGTCACAAAGATGAAGGACATAGTTCGGTACAAAATGCTGACAAACGTTTCGATTGATCAAATCATGTAGAAGCAAATGATGTGGAATAAGATGCATGAATGGTTGGATGGAAGAATGATGGATGGACGGATTGTCTTTATTGTCCCTGAGGATCAATTTGTCTCACAGTAACAGTCAACACCAATGCACACAATACAAATGAGACCAAAAGAATAAATACAGGATAAAACTACATGGACGTACAGTGAGAGTGGAACAACAATGAAACAGAAACACACTGAAAGTCTGTTTGTTAACATTGCCTGGTTTGGTTTGAATACAAATAATTAGTCTGACTGAAATAATCGTAAATTATTACTCCATATGTTAAAACAAACATTGACTGATCGCAACCATCTGAAGCTTTTGAGTTTTTATAAGCTTGCTGCGCAATCTTTACGCGTAAATGTGACATTTGTGTCTGCTCTTGAACGTGTGTGCGCTCCTCGCTGTGCGTCCGTGTGAGTAATAGCACCTCCCCGGCGGCGTCTCCCCGCAGCCTCTAACCCATTAAGTGTATCCGGGAGGCGGAGGAGGAGGAGGAGGAGGAGGCCACCGCCGGGCGCGCACACGCTCCATTAACGGACCCACTGCCGCGCCGCTCTGTCGGTAATTTGCGTAACGAGACTGGAGAGCGGCTGGTTAGCGCGTTTCTCCCCGAGCAGCGGCGTCTCCTCCCCGCCGCCTCCACCGCCGCTGGCCGGGCCTCGTTTCGGATGCAGCGCACGGAGGCAGCGCAGCGGGAGAGGAGGAGGAGGAGGAGGAGGAGGAGGAGGAGGACGCGCGGAAAGACAGAGGATGTGTGAGTGCGTCGAGCTCCATCTTCCACACAAACAGCAGCCCCCTCCTCCTCCTCCTGTTTTACCCACAGTTCCGTTTTCCACTGATACCCAAGCGCCCCCACGTGGACGAGAAAGGTACATTCAGTTTGTGATCAAGGAGAGGGAAAAAAAACTTCGTGGACTCAGCTGGATGTTCATCACAACTGTCAGTCACAGAAAATGTCAATACAGTTTGTCTTTCCTCTTTCTTTTATATAAAATAGCCAGTGTGATGGACAGGAAATACTTTTAGCACAAAAGCAGATTGTTTATAATATGTACGTTATATAAAGTTTATTATGTGCACATAATTAACACCAAGTCACTACGATAGAAAAACTGAAGAACAGTGACCCTGAAGTGCAAAACGACAAACAAGATAAAACAAAATGACAAACAAAAAAACACAACAGTAAATAAGAAAAGAAAATGGCAATTAAGGAAACAACAACAAGTAAGAAAAGTCAAGGGTATCTGCGATAGACAAGGCTCATTGTTGATTGGACGAAGAAAGGAAATGCTGACAAAATGTTTGTCTTGATTTTCCATTGTGCTTTCTTTTTGTTGCTGTGTGACTCGAAATAAAAATAATCTTTTGGTCGACCTCGTGTTGTCACTGTTACTAATTCGCTCAGTTTTGTAGCCATCACATCTCAGCGTTCTAAGACACCGTGTAGCATCAGGTTCTTTAACTGCAACCTCATACACTAACTATAGCCGCCATTACTGAATCTATACATGAATTGACACCCACAGTCAGATCAAGTCACCCCCCCCCCCACACACACACCTGTATCCACAGCACCTTCAGCCTTCTAGAAGGCCTTGACCTTTAGCCTGACCTCTTCTGACCCTAATCCTGACGATAGAAATATGATTCATTTCGATTTGAGCATTGGAACAGCCTAAATAATCACATTTTACTCCTGTGGATGAATATAACATTACTGCCCATGAGATATTCTTGCACTGCTCTATATATTTTTGCTTTATTCCGGTCTTGACTGCATACTATGTTGTGTACTTACTGTATATGTCACGTGGGTACTTAATATGTTGTGCTACTTACATGTTACATGTGTTGAGTGCTTATGTGTCGGCTTATTTGTTTAAATTGGGAATAAACCAACATTCCAATCCCCTTTGTGTTCTGTGCATTTGGCAGAATTGACAATAAAGCTGACTTTGATTTTATGCTCTCCAAATAATAATAAAATAAACCTGATAAATAAATTCAATTCAATATTTATATCATACCTGAGCAAATACATCAGTGTATTGAAGCCCTACCGGAGGTTTTGAATGTCAGAGGTGGTCTTGTAGAAAGTTACTAACAAACCACAGAGTACTGAGCTTTAAAGTCACCTGTTAAGAAACATGTTCAACTCCAGATTTAAAATACACAGAGCAGTTTCCATCTTAGCAGAATAAACACACACTGAACACAAGTGTTATCTGTATATTTAATGATAATAAGACCACTGATGGTGACTTAGTCAATAGTAGATGGTGCAATTCTTTTTGAGTGTCTAATGACCCCATGTGTACGCTAGATGGTATTACAATTTAGTATTTACAGGACAATATCAGCTCGAGGAAGGAAAATTAAGTTTCAGAGTGGAGTCAGGAAAACATACATTCACTAAATAAATGTACAGCTTTGAAAGCAACAAGGTTTTGTCCCTTGAGAAGCCACAACCAAATACTGACCAAAAACTGAAAACAGCAGGATCCACAAAATCAAGATGCTCTCTCACACACACACAAACTGGATTTTAACATCCGTCTCAGGTGATCTGATCAACGTCGTTTCACACCTGGCATCAGGAGGCGTGCAGAGTGACAGATCAGATCTAATGAACATCTATAATTTCTGTTTGCAAAGACCGAATTCTGTGGTTTTTAGCCGACTATACAATTTGTTCCATGGTCAGTGTGTTTGAGACGAGGAGAGAAAGAGCCAGAGGACATCAGCTGAGTCGACGATCCTTCAGTGTGGCCCAGGATGCATTTGCATTCACGCAGCCAAAATGACTGAGGCCATGTGAATCCCACCACCTCTGAGCGTGCTCTGAGCAATCTGACCTCCCAACGCTCAAATTAGACTCGTGCACTAGTGATCAGATCACCCAAGACGTATGCCAACACCAGGTCAGAAGGGTCATTCACCCACACACACAGACACGCACGTGCACACACACGCACGCACGCACRCACACACACACAAAACACACACACACACATATACACAGACACACACACACACTGAAAGAGCGATAGAAAACCACTTGGTGAACCTGTAAACTTAATGCCAACCAAATAAGAATAAATATACAGCTGCATTTAAACGATTACATGTTACTGTCAAAACATTGGCCACAAGTTTTTTTTTTTTAAATGCAAGTTTCCTATAAACTATCAAACAAATACAGATTAACATCACAAACTGTGTGGAATCCAAACTCTTGACACAACATTTACATAATTAGCATATCAGAATGAGAAACATTTCATTATACAAAGTACATTTCCAATACATATCTACAGATGGTGGTGGTGAAGGAATACGTTGTATGTTGATGCACTACATAGAATACTGTAAATACTAGATGAACACTGTGGAAATCCCGCGAATCTCAGACTCCTTGATGCTTTTCGATCCACCTTTTCGTGTTTTGCTGTTTTTTCAGCTTGAGACGCGTTCAGGCCAAAGCTCGTTCAAATAATGCTGTTCGATGCACACTGACGCATTAAAGGTAATTGGGTGTTAGAGGCATAGTTCAGAGCCCTGTCACACCAGCATGAAACTGCATGAAACTGCTAATTCTGTGCAAATACTTCACGCTAAATTCAACTTTGTTTAGCCTTGACATTTTTGCCGTTGACCAATGGAAAGTCGTCTTGACAGCTGAGAACTGCTCTTTTAGGGGGTTAAGAGTATAAAGAGCTGTAGTTCATTTTAATTGCGGTTATTTTGAATTGTCAAAGCAGGTGAACTTAAATGATTTAGGTGAGGCAGTTTCATGGTCCTAGCACCGCTCATGCCCACTCACTGTTGGGATACTTTATAGTAATAGCGCCTTGGTTAGTGTCGCGCCATGATAAATTGTATTACCTCTGCCAAGGGGGTTATGTTTTCACCCCTGTCCGTTTGTTGGGGTGTAAGAAAAATTACACAAAAAACAACTGAACAGATTTCCTCTAGACTTGGTGGTGATGTGGTGGGGGTTGAGGGAAGAACCCATTACATTTTGGTGCTGATCTAGATCAGACGACAAATCCGGAATCGATTTTTTTCACTTTCTTTAAAACTATTCCCAGAAAATAGGAATAGTACAAAACCCACTTATGCATAAACTCCGTTCTTGGTCTGGTGTGACAGGGCCTAAAGATTTCCTATATATGAATATATTTCTCTTCCTATTTAAACTAATTAATTGATAAAAAACATAATTAAAAGTGTGTTAAAAAGCGTACTTAACTTAAGTTACTTTAAGTTAATGTGGGCGTTTAACAGCAAATATTCACATTTGTTGTTCTTAAGATTTAACTCCAGATAACGAATTACAACTGAAAATGTAACTTAACTCCTAATGTGCCTTCAAGTTAAATTAAATACTTGGGTCAAAAACATATCTACAGATAAAAAATACTCTCTAACAGCTCCCCCTCTTCTCCCCATTGTCAGTTTTCTAGTTTTTTTATATAAACTTTACATAAACTTAAAATATCATCGTCACTACACATAATCAGTTCACGATAGTGAGCAATAGCAAAGTCAAATGCAAAACTAAACCAATCTATTAAAGTATTACTGTCAAGCTTTAGTCATGTCATTCTGTACAAAGATGTGTGGTGGTCTTCTGGTGGCAATTGGTCGAGCATGCTGCATCCAACTGAGAAGCCAAGTTGCACCCGGTCACGTATCTGAGACCAGCACCGCCGCCGCCTCGAGACAGGTCGGGTCTACCTGCTCGATGTGGGCCGTGCCGATCCAAGATATGTGCTAACGAGCAACAATAAACATCAAGCAGCAGAGCGGTGTGCGATGCAGAAAGCAGTGAGTCAAGGAATGGTGCTTTACAATAAGATACATTAAAATATTACATTAACATCACAGGCAGAGAGACGGAGGGATGTAAATTCCAATTCAGACATTTGAGAGTGTTTCAGGGAATTTACTCTGGTCATGTGTCGAGCATCGTTGTTGCTTCTTCTCTTCATCTCCCTAAAAAGATTAAAACACAAAGAAGAGAATTGAAATTTCTATTTTTTGGCCACTTGTATGTATATGTTCGTTCTAAAAAGATGACAACATAAAGAAATAATATTAATGAATGGAATGTTTTTTTGGCCCCTTGGGAAGAAGCAGCAAAAACACAACGTTCACATATTCCTGAGATGTATTTGGAGTGGTGTGCATTATGAAAATATTGATTGTAGCGGCTTTAACTCTAAACATGTGGTTGCTCGTGTCTCTTCCTGTTTCTTTACCTGCCACGTCACGTCAGCTAGACCATCTCATACTGATTGGCTGTGATAATCCTGGACAGACAGCAGGCCAGCAACATGCCAATCAGCTGAAAGACAAAGAGAAAAGGGTTAAAAGGGTAGAAAAAGTACAATTGACCTTTTAATGAGGACTCGAGTACCCATGAAGTCTATTCTGTCCTGTTGCTGCAAGTTTCTGCTTTCCTGCAGTATATAAACAGCTTAAACAATGCAGAGAATACAGATTGTAGGTTATGTCAAAGTACAATTAAGTTAAATGAAACATATGAATAAAGGTGTATATTCCTTGCAGAGTATACTAGTTCACCTTTCTTACAATTTTCCAGTCAAGTTAGTCAGTAATTTCCTGTCAAATCACATCTGTCAGCACAAAACGCAACATTACTTCTGTCTGTTGATTTCATTAGCAACTGTCCTGCTTGTTGTCAGTAATCACATCTCTAACTTTGATCACATTAAAGATCTAAATACATCACACGCGCCACCTTTCATTTGTACTGCAGAGAAAAGCACTTTTGTTCAGCGTTACCTGTGAGAAGGCAATCCCAAACGTCACTCCTGCAATAATGGCCATGTTGGTTTCCATGAATGAAGTGACCAGCTCGTAGCAGCCCTGAAACACAGGGGGCAGGTTAGTTTGTAGACGGTACAGGGATATGTTATTTGTGCACGTTAGGGGTAAAATGGGAAGCTGGGAGATTATCTGAGGTTTGTTGGAGAATGGATGAGGGACGCAGTGTGAAAAAATTGTATCAGGACGACAGACGAGACATGCATTCAGCTGCAGAAAGTCGAGAAATAGAAAAACACCAAAACACACTGACCTGGTGGAAGACCTTGTTCGGGGCTATGGTCGTGTTGCGGAGATCTTCTGGGTTGCAGTCGGAGGAGTTAAAGCAGCAGCTGGCAGGAATACCGTTGGAGGGATAATACACACTGGCCAACCAGCTGGTGTAGTTATACACTCCACAGCAACGTAGCTGAAAACAGACAGAAGATTGATAGCAGATTAGAATTCATGAATAAGGCTGGACTCATTCCACGGTTTTGTTATTGTGAACAAAACCATTGCAAGAATCAAAACTAAGGACGTGCAGGTCTCTCAATCCTTGTCTGTGGCACTCACACTAAACCCCATTTGATCCAAATGTCAAACTCATGTTCCACCGTGTGTGTTTTGTTGCCCTTGTGTGTGTTGTTTGTCCCTGTTCTTGTCTGGGTGTGTCTTTTGTGTGCGTTCCTGCTGTGCTTTGTCCGACATCTACCGCTTCCCGCCAACTCACCTGCCCAGCAGAGATTCACCCTCGATCAGCTCCACGAGCCTGCTGCTTTATTTATGCAGCCTTTGAATGGGGTTGTGTTTCCTGTTTCCACATTAACGTCAGAATCTTGTTGTATTTACGAACTTTGACCTCAAATTCTTCAGAAAGCTTAAGTTGCTGGATGTACATTTTTTGCTGGCTGGTAAGCCAATGGTAAGTTAATATTAGCATCCATGTTTCTATGGTCTAGCAGCAGTGTTTATCACTATTTAACCACTCGAGTACCAAGTACTCCTTGGACACAACTTCCCACATCAACTTCACATCAAATTTTCATGGAAAGAAATCAAAATTGCCACTTGCCACATGCATTTAAAATACAAAGTTATGCACCCAGCCTTTGTATTTATTGGCTGTTGTACCACATTGACATCAGGGACTTACCTTGTGCTGCAAGTTGTCCACAGCACGGCTCGCCTCGTCCTCAGCATTGTAGTTCAGGACTGCGTCAGTGTACGTCCTGTGAAAGGTTCCCTTTATCTGCAGCAGGCCGAGACATAATCACACATGTTAACAGCTTGAGAAGGCTCTGATGCTTTGTGTGTTAAAACATGTAAGGATGGAAAATGGTGAACTGCTCACTGACCTCATGGCGAAACACAAATCCAGAGATGCCGGCCACCAACTCAGCGAGGAAGACGAGCGACAGAAACATGGCATACTACAGATAGAGAGGAAGGAAGATTTGGATAGTTTGCATCAACACCTTCTGCTTCATGTGGTTATCATTTACATATGCTTGCACACACACACACACCCACTTGTCCACCGTTAACAGACCAACATGCCCTGCAGCAGCATTGGATTTCTGATCCCTCTCCACGTGATAGAGGTAAACTATTATTCCCTTTATTGTGCGACCCGGGGCTAATTAATCAGCATGTACAACCCACCTCTCTCTCTCTGTGACATACAGTATCACTCCACCCTCCCTCCTGCAGCCTCTCACCAGCTTCAGCATCCATGGGCTTCCTCTGCAGGTGGCGAAGCATCCAAACAGGCCGAAGACGATGATGACGGTGCCGGTGCCAATGAGGACATACGGGGCGTTGGTGGAGTTGTCGGCTATCAGGGAGATGTACGGGCCAAGCATCAACTTCCCCCATACTCCCACGGCCAGCAGGATGGCTCCTGTTATCTAGAGGGCAGAAAGAAGGACATAAACATAGAGAGAGGAACAAAATGAAAGCAGGGAACAGGCACTTTATCTCTGAACTTACTACAATGGATCTATTTTAGCAGCATAGCTAGTGGGAGAAGGGGAAAAGGGATCAAGGTGGAACAAGAAAGAGCAATTAGAGTACGGAGGAAACTGGAGACAGAAGACACAAGACACAGATTTATCTGGAGTACTGGGATAGTGATCACCTGCTTTATGAATGTGCCTGCACTCGTACATATACAGAGAGAAAGAGACGAAAAAGAAAGGGGACAAATCATAGAAGCTCTTTGATGCGAGGCGAGACGCTTGCTCCTGTTGCGCATCTCTTTGCATTTCAAATGAAGGCCGCAGATAAAAGAGCGTGCTGTACGAGGCAGCTGAAGCAGCGTGTGTCTCAGCTGGGTATGTCTCACTGGCATCGGAAAGAGAGCGGGGTGTGGGAACGGCTGTTGATGATCCGACTCGAGTGAGGGCCAACTCATCATCCTAACCCGCCTTCCTTCCAAGAGGAGGCCGCTCGCCATCCTGCTGCCAGGCCCTCTGAATAGAGAAAGGGAGTGGCCGGCACAAAATGTCTCTGTGCACGATACACTCGGCTTTCTCTCAGCAGAAAGTGAACCGAGACTTGAGAAGAAAAGTCTTAGCAATAGAGCACAACAGTGGCTGCCCACTTATAGAACGTCTCTGGTGCCAAAATGCAAATGTCCTATTTCTGTGTCTCCATTGGTGATTCAGAAAATCCTGAACCAGGCCGAGCAGCTACAGGATGAATCTTTGATTCGGAGCAAAAACAATAATGGAAAACATAAAAAAAGGCAAAGGTGATTAATGGTCAAAGGTGACAAACGATTGACAAAAGAGTGATGGAACTACCCATAAACCATTGTGGATGATCTAACAACTTATTTCTCAGGTGAACCTTGTTAGAAAGAGAACTCACGGTTGCCTTGTGGCAAACGTTACGTAACCCAGAACAATATGTTTAAAGAAGACATTCTTTTTACAGTGGTGGTAAACATTTCCATGGCAACAATGAGCTCCACCAATCACAGAGAGTGCTATAAGGATTGTGGGTAGTATATTACTTCTCCTCATTATCATGAATAAAACACGTTTTGTGTTAACACACTGGGAGTGTATAGCATCGTTTCACAATCTCGTAGCCTGGTAAGTCTACCTTGGATGGATAAAATATTACTGCTGAGTTCTATTGGACGATGATGTCCTCAAGCCTGTAGGTCAGGTTATGAAAAATAACACACATACAGAAGTGATTGACAACCATACAAAAATATCTCTTTGAGTGAAGTGAGGCTGCTGTGCTCTGTCTCTGGCTACAGCTTCAACCAGCCTCCGCAGGTTAATGACTGTGTTGACAACATTTACACTTTGCCCCATTGGCAGGGTGTGCACTCAATGAGTGGGCAAAGATTTTTCACCATGACAAATCACCAGCCTCCAGCCGCCTGTTGTTCTGTTTTCATTTTGGTTGGTCTTAAATGAGGCTGTATGTCTTTATGTTCTTTTAGCATTAAATACAGTGAAAGTAGTTAGAGACGTCCACAAGTTTTAGTTACAGGTGAGATTTACGGTTTATTTTTTGTAATCATAGTTTTCAAATAGATTTAAGCCCCAAACACATTCAGTTTATTTTTATCATTGAAATTTTTCTTGGCATTTTTGCTCAGAAAACAAATTAAATGGTAAATTGATTATCAGAATTATCGTTTAATCCTTATCGGACAATCAAGGAATTAAAATCATCCATTAATAATATAATCTTTGTGCTGTTTATCTCTGTACTTATGACTTAAACATGTTGCTTTCTATTACGTAAGCAAATTGGTATTATTGACGACCTGTGGGCAGATGCACAGCATTTAATGAAGCTGAAACACACAGTGAGAAGTGAGATCCATTACATTTTTTATATAAATTTATTTTAAGACATGACTATGACTGTAGGCCAGACAGTATTGATTTACCAGCCACATGAACATGTAAATAACCTAATATCTTATGTATGCATCGCGGAATTTGTATTTATTCAGGGCGGCAGTGGTGCAGTGGTTAAAGCTGTCTCCTCACAGAAAGAAGGTTTTTGGTTCTGTAAGAGTTTGCATGTTCTCCGATGCTACTGCCCGCCTCCCACAGCCCATTAACATGCACACTGGGGTCAGGTTAATTGCCCATAAATTCAGCGTAGGTGTGCGTTGGCCCTGTGATTTGCTGGTGACCCGACCTATCCCGCCTCTCGCGGACAACTGGGACTAGCTCCTGCTCCTCAGTGACCCTCGAAGGAAAAGTGGAATAAATATAGATGGATTTATTTATTCACAAATTTGTGTGCAGAGACTGGAATGATTGGCTAATGCAACCAGACAATATATTAATTATATATATAAGTGAAATGCTCTTTCCGTTTGGTGTCTTTTTATGTATTCAGTAGTTGGTGTTGCAGCTATTATTTTCGCTCTGTCTCTTGAAAATGCCCACGCAGGCGTTCTTGCAGGAAATATTCTTCCTTTTCCTCTTTCAATATACAAAACAAAACATGGCAACAACATGGAATACATAGTCAAATACTGTGGCTGCTGTGTTACATGGTTCACCATAGCTACAGCTTGTTCTCACTTCTACACAGTATGCATGTATATGAAGAGAAGAAGTGGAGGCTGATGATTTGATTTGTCACTAATGACATCAACTCTTTCCATGAACAGAGATTCTCACAGCCTGAGTCATTTGTCCTCTTGATGACGATGCAATCGCTCATGGCCGACATCCCCAGCAACAAAATGTCTCTACCCCCTAACAGCTGCTGCCACGTACAAATCAAGAACCCATCTTCTCAATTGTCGATGCTTAAGCATTTTTTTTAAAGCCAACATCGAAATCAAGTCCAAGGAGCAGGGGCAAGTCATCTAGATTTTAATGCCCATTGCTGAATTCAAAACAGCCCCCCCCCACTCCTCCTCCATCTGCACGTTTTGTTTGAAATTCAATGCCTGGCCCGGCCACCCTGGTTACAGCACCGAGTTTAAAACAGGTCGCTCCTCACCCCTCCTCCTCCCCTGCCTAATAAAGAAACAGAAGGTGTGATGACAAAATATGCCGGCGAGGCCACCGCACAGACTCCGCCACCTGCTCCGCGTTTCCCCCGTCCTGCATGTTAAACTATACAGCAACACAGACATTCACACTCCGGACATTATTTGGCAGGACAAGCTGATGACAGTGAAACCAAGGCCTGACATTGAGGCACGTCTCCCCCGCTTTCGAACTCAGTGCCACTGCCAGCTCCCTCTGCGTGCTTCAGCCTCAGGCCTGAAGAGAGCCAATGACCTGTGAGACACTTGTGCTCTTCAGACATCTGAAACCTGATGCTGCAGACGTAGGGAGCGACAAGACCATTCAATCCAGACTAAATATAAAAGTTGGTATCTGGGACACTGGCACATGTCTGCAGAGCAGCACAGCTCTGCTTTAAGAGCCGTTCTGGCAACAGATCTCAACTAAAAGCAAGTTAATTCAGTTTTTCTCTTCATGGACGAGCATCAGCATTGAAGCTTTTTTTCTTCCATGAAAGAACAGGAAACCCTCTTCAGGTCCTGAACGCTTTATAGACAGATAAACTGCTTCCACGTGTTCTTATTAGATAATCTACCCCTGGCTGTTTCTGGCAGCTATCAGAAACCTAACTCACAGGAATGAGCTTATAACGTACGACTGTGGTCACAAATTATGTCAACAACATAATAAACTCATTCACTTGGTGTTCACTCGGCTGATATGTGGATCAATGTATTATATTGTTGCTTGATCATATTTGCAGATTCACATGGAAACCACTGAAGAAAGCCCAGGGAAAAGTAGATACGATTATGCCCCTCACCACTCTAGTTTATCTCAAAGTATTTAATCCCACAATTGGAAGGAGTCTCAACTAAACTGATTTGGTTTGAGTAGCTGGGATGATTCTGAGTGATCTGCTGCCTACAATCCTGAGGTCAAGACCTTTAATTACAGTGAAAAGGCAGAATTCATTCCTCAAATTAGCCTCATTGGTTAGCACTGTGAATGCAGCTTTATATAAATTCAAACTCCAAATTCTCTGGATCTTTGCTTCTGAAATGTGAGATATGTTATTGGGAAAAACTATTTACAGATGAGCAATCCTGAAAATATGCTCTAATATCAATACATTGTTGGATCATACGACACCATCACAAACCACAGTCTCTAAATAAGGTGGGAACAGTAAACTGAAGCTCTTTAGACTGGTTTCAAAAGTAACTGAAATAGTCAAGTCACTATCACGTATCCAGCAAAACAACCAAACCATCTCTGGTTCCAGCGTCTCCAGTGAGAAGAGGTTCTGCTTTTTCTCTTCTTACATTATATTTAACTGAACATTATTGGGTTTTAAGACTGTTGGTCACCATTAGAAAAAAAAAGTCAATTTAAACTTTAGAAACTGTGATGTTGAACTTTTTAACCAGGTTCTAATCATTTACTTTTATTAGCTGCAGCTTCCCTCAATCTTATTTAACACTGATACAAAATACAACTCCTGTTAATGACATAGTGGTATATATAGGCTTATATATTTATATTTACTTATACAGATGCATATGTTTCATTTATACATTTGATGTTAATTAAGTAATTAACATGTGAGCAGCCTTTTCCTTTAAAGCTTGTGGAGAGGGAGATAAATTATTCATATACAGTTGGGTGGGGTTTTAACAATTCCATTTTAACAATACAAAGGCAAATTCATATTTTATGAGCTGGGTTTATACAATTTAGTTTTAGAATGATAAAAACTGTAACATTTTATTTTTGACATGTGGTGAAGTAGAATTAACGTAATGGGGAATACGCCAATGAAGTTCAAGAACCTTAAAAGTGTATAAATAGATATTGATATAATTTGTAATATGGGCTGGTTAATATGGCCAAAAATTACATTGATATTTATAATTATTATCGATAAATAGCTAATTCTCATTCTTCATATGCATGTGGGCACATTCACACCTGATGATCAGCAAAACATTTAAAAAAATCGTGTATGTAAAATGTACAAGTAACATATCCATATATATATATATCCATATATATATATATATTCTACTGTTGTTATATTGCTATTGATGAAAATGATATTGCAATAATTATTGTTTTTGTTGCATCACCCATCACTACTGGTAGATATTCTTACAACTCTTTTATTTTTTTTTACATTTTACCAATGTCTATATGGAGTATATAGACAAAGTCCTTTTCAAAATGTATTGAAACAACCCTAAAATGTGTTGGTAGATATATTGTTAGAACAATCTTTTCAAACATTTGGACTACACCTGCAGGGGGGTACCCTACACTACAGGTGCATTCAAACACACTGTCACAACTATGTTTGTTCCATTTTCACAACATCTATATACACCAGTATATACAAAGGACACACGTTCCTTTATTAATGGATTAAACCGACCCAACATGTGCAGTGTGTGTTTGAGTAAATGATTCTAAATGGACCTTATCACACAGAGCAGGTCTTTCAGGTTGATGTCATCAGACAATTATGATTTTAACATCCTCCATCTCCTCACTGACACCGACCACGATGCTGAGTGCACCGACACCACTGACGCCCAGCAGGCAACATATGTGCAACCTAAACGCAACTTACATAACACACCACAATCTCACACACACACACACAGACACACACACACACACAATACGCTGCGTCGTTGGGCGACACCCGTCGATCGTTTCGCTTTTGTCCCGAACAAACACGATGATTCCGTCGGTGATGCTGGATCCGTCCAACCCTTCATCACGCACCGCAAAAAAAAAAACACCACCGCGATGGTTTTCTGCAGCGAAGCTCCGAGAGAGAGACACAGAGAAACGCTACGTACCCAGAAGACGAAGGAGTAGACGATGAGGAGGGTTTTAAGGCAGGTGATGACCGGTTTGGTCTCCATTGTGGAACCGGTGTGATAACAACAGCAGGAGCAGCAGCAGCAGTGAAGGAGGAGGAGGAGGAGGAGGAGGAGGATGAAGAAGAAGAAGAGAAACGAGCTGTCGCGTTGCAGCCACGCGCTGATGCAGCCACACGGCGTCACTGGAGCAACGCAGCATCATCATCATCTTCACCTTCATCATTATTATCAGTGATAACGCATAATGACACTGGTAACCTTAACTCACAGGGTGATGTGATAATGTGTATACATATTTCATGTGTTTTATTGCGTTACTCAGTATTATCTGGCTATTCTATGAGCTGCTATCTTTGCACTTGTGTTTCATTTTTTGAGAAGAAATAAAGTTTATTGGTGTTATTATTATTGTGCTGTTGTTCATGCCCTCAGTTGCATCACACATCTACATGGAAGCCCATTTCTAGCGCTTTGTTAAAAAAGATGCTGCAAATCACTTAAGATCTCAAAATAATGATTCACTGTCTTATAAGTATGACTCACTACCTCATTATTTAGATTTACTTTCGACTTAGTATTCATCGTTTTTTTCTTTCACCTGTGCAAATAAGCTTCCACAGATCAGGGACAGTTTCAAGATATTGACAAATGTGACGTTTTTATTGTATAGTAAATTTGAAATATAGGGTGGAGTGGGGACGGCATATCCCTGGTACCCAAGAGTTCTTTGGATTCGACCAACCTTATTTTTATAAATATAAGTACAGCACTAAATTTCTATTTAAGGAATATTAAAGGTAGAGTGTGTACGATTTAGGAGAAAAATAATCTATTGGCACAAAGCTAATATAAAATAACCCTAGTGAAGTTTTCACTGGTGTGTTTCACCACAATTGTAGTAATTGTTGTTTTCTATACAGTAGAAAAGGCCCTTTGTATTTAAATACTTTATATTTACATCAAGGGGACCCGCTCTAGGGAGGCCGCCATGTTTTTTACATTAGTCCGGACTGGACAAACTAAACACCTTTTGAGTTTTTATGACAATTAAAGCTACCACAGGTTCTTTTTCATGTTTGGAAGGAGAGGGTGAGGTGAGGGGTGTTCAGCTGCAACATGCAACTTCAACACTAGATATCACTAAACTTTACACACTGAACCTTTAAGCACAAATTGATTTTTAGTTTGATCCAGAACAGGAAAGTCTAAAATACAGTGCCTGCAGGAATGTGTAGTTGACATGAAACCAATTTAAGTAAACTTTCACTCATCACACCACCATCATCATGACTCAGCAATTTTGAGGTTTGTAAGTTATTTTTACGTTTTGTGGGGGGAGGGTAAGAGAGCAGGTGGACCCAAAAGGCAGAACAAAAGTTTAAAGCAAAAACAGAAACTGAGTGGAAACAACGAGTGGTGAAAAGACACAGGGACATGGAACGGCATCTCACAACTACAAAGTGACAAAGACCCAGGGAAGCACAAAGACTTAAATACAAACTGAACTAATGTGAACCTAGAGACAGGTGACACAGGACAAACAGCTGAACCTGACAAGGGCAGGAGGGAAAACACACAAGCAAACAAACTTAAACAGGAAAGAGAGACAAACACAGAGAGGAACACAAAGAGGAACACAGAGAGGAACACTGAGAGGAACACTGAGAGGAACACTGAGAGGCACACTGAGAGGCGAGGACCATCACCATCTTAGAGGTGTCGTCATTCTCCAGTGCTGAAAAAGAAAAAGTAGATTTCCTCACAAACATGAGCTTTGATTTTAAAAGGTGCACAACACAGGACAGACTTCACTGCATCTATGTTGCACAGGTCTTGACAGAACTATTTCAGGTTTTGATGAGTATTTTTAAAATGAAGATAGCTTCACCTTCCCACTTCTCTCTTTCACTCACCATCCATCTGGACTAGAAGCTCTGACTTCACCCTGCGGCTGGCTTCATGTTCGTCAGATGTTCCTCTTCTGCCACAGACGGAGTCGATCTCATCGATGAAGATGGTTGTTGGTGCATAAAACCTGGCCTAAGAAAAAACAAATATGAAAAAGAAAACTTTTCCTCTGACAAATAACACGAAGATGTTTTTATGATCTGATCAGACTCCAGTTACTCTCTGTTGTCATTTTCATTGACAAACACTGTTGATACAATCACTTGCAAGTAAGCAAACATGTTACTGCTGTTTAACTGGTCAATAGAAAGACAGCCACAAGTTTCACTCCTTATTACAGCGTGACTTAAAGGGATATTTGGGCGATATTTGTTGGGTGACGAGGCTGAGAGCGATACATGGGGGTAAAACATTCAGATACTAATATATCAGCCGATATATGTTTTAAAAATGGCAATGATTCCAAAGATTCATTTACATAGCGCCTTTCTTGCAATGTTGTAATTCAAGGTGCTTGACAATACAATACATGAACAGAATGAGAGGCTGTGGCCGTTCAAACATGTAGCTACAGACTTGCTGTTGCTGGGTCAATGTGCTGGAGTATATCACACACACAGAACAGCAAAGAAGACTGAGCAAATGTTTTTATTACATACACTGAGGACGCTTTGAAAGATCTGCTTGTGAAAAGCCTGTCTGATGTCACTGTTGGTGAAATTATTTATTGCATGGACACAAACAATGAGGTTTAAAGAACAACAGGAGTCATTTGGATGGTCTCAGGGAGTTTCTCTGAAAAAACGACATCATCAGCACGTGTGTTTCAGGTGTTTCCATTATTTCTGTAAGCTAATAGAAGAAAATAGAAATGCCTCTTACCTAAAAAACAAGAGAACAAGTTGGTTATCACATCTTTCTTTAGTAGACAGGAGACACTAGGATACGTTAGGGTAAAACATCTTTCCACAAAATTATTTTAAAATACTTTTGTCTCTCAGCTTCACATTTTGTCATGCTGCAAAAATATTCAATGGTCAATAAATTTAAATTCCCAACAACAGGTATGTTTCATTAAAGGTGAAGTTTATTTTTTGGTATTAAAATAAAATGACATGCAAATTATACAATGAATGGAGCTTTTAATGCACTGAAGCAGAGTGTTATAAACACTTGAAACAGGGGAGAACAATTAAACATCCATTGATTGTAGATGGAGTCCAGATTAGTTCACAATGTATTCATCTTATCACGAAACTCATCCAACACTTGGTCAATACAAAACAAAACCTGACTCAGTTTAGGGAGATTTAACAGACTACATATAAACAGGAACCATAAAATATAGACAAGGATAAACTATCTGCATCATTTAATACACAATCAATGTGGTCGTTCTCTTTTTAGTTTCACTACATTTGTTTGTGTCAACTGAAATAAAACTGAGATGAATTTTAAAAAAAACATGAAAACACAAAGACATAATCACTGACCTCAAAACAGACATCGTGGTTCTTCAAGTGTGTTCAGTCAGTAGTAAATACATGAGCTCCACAAGGAGATACATTGAGAGTGATCCAACATGCAGACGATGGGCCTCATGCAAGAATCACAAGTGTGACGACCCCCTCCCCCCTCCCCCCGGGTCACATCTATAAAACAGTGCGTGGGATTCATACGAAAAGAGTACGTGCCCACAAAGGCCGAAAATTTTGCAGAATTTTCTTCATGTACCTGGAAACATTCGCACTTGGAGCTGCATCAGTCACGCAGCATTACGCACGAGTGTCACCGCAGTATTTATATATTTAGAGGCGTCGGGCTGATTACTTCACACATCAGTGGATCCTATCCTCCACTCTGGGATATTATTTGAAAATAGTATATAGTTTTTTTACACACACTCGTTCTTAATGATACACGCACAGTGTTAGATATTATTAATATTATTAAAACTACTGATGATGACTTGGCTCTGCAACTCTGCTGTTGGATGGTATCTGAACATAATTTGCTGTAAGTTGTTGTATATCTTTTGCAATTGCAGGTTCTTATGGAACACTGATGTTGCCCAAGCACAAATAAAGTTGGTTTTAATGTAAATGATGAAGTGGATCAATAATCTGCTTTAGTTCACCACCTCACGTCTGCATCGCCACTTTCCCGTCTCCAAAATGTTCGTATGCATGGGTCAGAGTTTGCGTGGAAATGCGCAAATCCTCACATCAAGTTTGTTTTTATAAATCCCAATATTTGTGTGAGAAGTGTAATACGCACATTCCAGGCCCCTCTTGTGTTTACACAATAGTTATAAATGAAAACCCTGGACATTAGGTCCTGTTCGTCTTTTCCCTGAGCCGTAGGTGGAGGTGACATCAGCTACAATCAGTGCACACCTGGGCCCTTTAAAAAGCCTCATTCATGTTACTCTTGAGCTCTCTGAGGGACGAGGTTGTCTCTCCCTGACTCCTGATGGCAGCATCCCTTTGTTTGTGGACAGTGGTGTTAAGGTTCCTATCTTGATTTGTATAAATAAATGTCTGTAAATATAACCGTCAACATTTGTAATCTTCCTCCTGGTCACAGCCTTTTGAGACGGGTTGTGACACAAGAAACTGACAGAGTCGATTTTACAATTATTTAAGATTTAAGCAGAATTTTCTCTTAAGCACAAATTGATTTTTAGTTTGATCCAGAACCGGAGAGTCTGAAATACGATGCTTTAATCTGCAGGGATGTGTAGATGAAATGAAACCAACTTAAGTAGACTTTCACATAGCATACCACCATCATCATCATGACTCACCAATTGTGAGGTTTGTAGGTTTTACTGACAAATTCTGTCATGGCGACCAAAATGATTAAAATTCTCTCACAGCAACAGCTTCCTCAGGGTTTACAATGCTTGTTGCTGCCCATGTAAATATTCTCTCTGGGACCTGACAGTCTAACAACACAATGCACTGATGAAACGTCATTGCCCGATTGTTTAAAAAAAAAAGCCCTATCTTGCAATGTGTAAGAAAATGATGAAAACAAATCCTGGATCAATTTCTGCACCAAAATGTAGAGGATGCTTCCCATACTTTGTTCTATGTAGTAATCAATCCAGTAGCTTCTATGTAATCCTGCAAACTAACAAACAAATGCAGATTAAAATACAACCTCTTTGGTGGAGGTAAAGGAGTCAGAGGTTTAGACTGAGAATCTGAATTCTTGCATGAGGCCTGATATCTAATGAAACTAGAGTGCATTCCCTGGTCTAACTGTGTTGATTATTAGTTACACATTAAAATTTCCCATTGTGAGAAAAGTTCACCTCATTCTTCCTCCAGTCACTTAAGTCAGTCAGCAGCTCGATGATTGACACTCCCGTGTAGGAGTGACACCACTGAACGTTCACATCACCAAAGGCACCAGTCGTCTGATGTGAACTTGAGCGTGTGTTGTCTTGATCCCTGATGTGCCGTCTGGTTCACATGCTCAGCTCTGCATACGCTCCTAAGTCCCTCCTCTTCATCATTTTCAAAACTATGAGTTCTCCTCTTAAGGTGCAGGTCCCTCTGGGTCTCAATGGTACCGTTGTCTACACTGACCCAAACTCAGCCATCCAGGCTTCATATTTTTCCAGGTCGGCAGCAGAGACAGACTTGGAGATCTTCTTGAGCGTGAGGGTGAAGTCTTCCATGGTCACAGGCATCTGCAGCTCGTCTTTGGACAAAGCTCGGATCTCCTCGGGGCTCAGGCCTTGGATGCGACGACGCATTGCCATCATGGATGCATCCCTGTTATACGTGGAAAGACAGGAGCAGAGAGGGGCAGCGGACAGACAAATGTTACTATACACATGGAACAAGTTCACTCAATTAAACACGTCATGTAGGATTTCTACTGTTTTGAATTCCACATTTGAAGAGTTTTTCTCCCGTCAAAGGGGAGGAGTTTATGCTGTGAATAAGTCCTGCAGGCTACATGCTGTATGTAGATGATACACACACATCCAAGATCAACAAAACAAGCTGTTACTGAAATGAGCAGACAACTCTGTGTGTAGCTGCTTTAAGAAATTCATACACTACAGTCCTGACAAGAACAGACGGAAATAGAAAAAGAAGCATGACCTGATGATTAAATAATCATTTTGAATAGAATTACTCTATGTATGTGTATAAAGATCAGGGTTTAGTCTGTGATTGCTGAATAGCAGCCTTTACTCTGGTCATTATGTTAGTTTGAGCTGATTGGTGATAGACAATGAAACCTGGTTGATTGGTATTCAGAGAGCAGGGATGACCTTTGGGAGAGATATAGATTGTGTAACATACCATAACATACTTTAACATACAATAACACACACACACACCTGCAGACGTTGGTGATGTCTGCTCCTGAGTAGCCCTCAATCTTCTCAGCAATGAGGTCCAGGTCAACGTCATCGGCCACCTCCACCTCCCTCAGGTTGATTTTAAGAAGCTCTACACGACCCACAGCTAAACACACACACACACACACAGTATTGTGAGACATAACGATGACATGTCTGTCTTTTTCTAGAAATGCTCTATAAATACTGAGCGAATTAAATCAATTATTGATTGATTATCTCCCCAGTGTGAGTCCATATCAATTACTCTTATCTTAGCTTCACTGTTGAGTATAACCTCTGTTACTTTTACGACAGTGACCTTCGCTCTACTTTGTTGTGCTGTCAGCCTGAGGCTGATGAGGTCACCTGTGGGCAGGGGGATGTAGATCCGCTTCTCCAGGCGTCGTCGTAATGCCTCGTCAATGTCCCAAGGGAAGTTGGTGGCGGCGAGGACCATGACCATCTTAGAGGGGTCGTCATTCTCCAGTGCTCCCCCCACACCTTCATTCAGTGAAAAAAAACAGAGTTTTGATTTTAAAAGGTGCACAACTCAGGACAGACTTCACTGCATCTATGTTGCACAGGTCTTGACAGAACAATTCTGGGTTTTGATGAGCATTTTTAAAATGAAGATACATTAGCTTCACCTTCCCACTTCTCTCTTTCACTCACCATCCATCTGGACTAGAAGCTCTGATTTCACCCTGCGGCTGGCTTCATGTTCATCAGATGTTCCTCTTCTGCCACAGATGGAGTCGATCTCATCGATGAAGATGGTTGTTGGTGCATAAAACCTGGCCTAAGAAAAAACAAATATGAAAAGAAACTTTTCCTCTGACAAATAACACAAAAATGTTTTTAATGATGAATTTGTGTCTTATTTAACAGCTCTCAAACATATACACTTTTGTGATAAGTATCTTGTCCAAGGACACTTTGACATGTGGACAGAGCTGGGATTGAACCACCAACCCTGTAATTTGTAGTTGACCCACTCCACCTCTCATACATCCACACGTACACGCAGTATTCTCTTACCATTTCAAATAGCAGACGAACAAGTTTTTCAGACTCGCCCCTGTATTTGGAGGTAAGGGTGGAGGAGGACACGTTGAAGAAAGTAGTCCCACATTCTGTGGCTACAGCTTTGGCCAACATGGTCTTTCCCGTCCCTGGAGGGCCGACCATTAACACACCCTGAAACAAACACACTGTTGTTGAGCACGACCAAATGTACACAGACAACAACTTCTAACACTCACAGCTACAGTCACTGTGACAAAACATAACAGTGACTGAGATATACTGTCTAAGAGGCCAAAAACATGTTTTGTGTCGCCGTGACCTTGAAAATTAACCACCTACATTGAAGTAGTTCATCTATGAGTGCAACTGAACCTTTACACCAAATCTGAAGAAATTCCCTCAAGGCGAAGATATAGTTTTCAAAAGGTGCATGGCAGATGACTTTTTCATTTGTGAATGTGTCATGTTATGTAGTTCATACGTGACTGCATGCATTACTGTCTCATGTTTTAATTGAATCAGTCCACTGTACGTCTCTTTATATTGTTTACCCGTCCTTCTGAAATGAATGATGATCCATGTGAAACAGCATGGTCTGCGACTATTTTTCAAACTAGTGTGAGGGTGTTGACTTTACACATAATTTCAGTGCAGCTGTTGAAACAGGCTGCAGGAGTCACATTACTACGACTCTAGTTGGTGGGTTACAAGCTTTCACTGTGAAGCCACACAGCTGTGTGTTCAAATGTCAGCAACTACGAGTCAAGTTTGAACACAAAACTATGTGAAATGATGAAACTGTTGCTTGATTGATGAATGTGATTTCTTGGTCAGTATGTATGTAAGCTAGCGTGTGTGTGCATGTGTGTGTGTGCGAGTACCTTCCAGGGGCGGCGAATGCCCTTGAAAAAGTCAGGCATCCACATGGGTAACACCACAGCTTCTCTCAGCAGCTTCTTCGCATCCTCCAGATCAGCAATATCCTCCCTGCAGTTCACCAAGAAAATTCAGTCAGCAAAGCTCAAGAAAGAGCCTCTGCAGTGTAAAGCAGTTAAAGTGAATCTGTGTGCTACCATACCAGTGTACGTTAGGGTTACGGGACACGATATCTCTCTCCAGTGAGTCCACCAGGTCACTGTCATACCCTGTGCCGTCAAATTTCTTCAGCTCGACATCCCCTGGTGCGTCTCCCGCCCCTTTCTTTCCCTGTTAAGGAAACATTAATAGACAAATTTCTCTAAAACCACATCTTCACTCAACCACCAATAATCAACTGCGGCCTGACCTTCTCGTCTTTGGCCTTTGTGCCTCGTGCGTCTTTCAATCCTGGCCGGTCTGGTTTCAAGTTGACATGACCACGGCCTCCTGCCCCCCCTCCCCTGTGATTCAGACCTGGGGACTCCTTTCTCTGCTGCTTCACTGCACTGCTCGGACGCTTCACTGCTACAGGATTTCTACCGAGACACAGGATTAAAATGATATACACAGATAAATACAGGATTTGCCTCAGATAATTTGCAACAGGGTAAAGCATTAACTGTAAACCAGCTCTGCTTCTGTGAGGGTGAAGCCTGATATGTCAATTTTAATGAACAGAAATTCAAAATAAAAATCCAACATGATGAGTCAGTGTGCTGAATGAGATGGAACAGATGAGGTCTGTGTGCACTTCAAAGTGCTTCCTTATAAAGTTATTTTGTCCCACAGACTTTCTGAATGGTATCAGTAATAATCAGTTCTGCCAGAAACTCAATAAATCTCCTGGATCCAATCAGGCCAATAAAACACACACTAAAATTATTATAAAACACACACGCACACACACCTGTGTTCGGCAGGGATGGGAGGGGGCCAAACTGCGGGATCCTCGGGTCTGTCGTCAGACTGAAGGGCAAGAGGTGCAATGATGTCGTTTGGCTTCTCTGACTTTAAGCTCTCAAGTGTTCCCATGATGCCTTTCACCTGCTCATACTCCTCAGTGAGTTCCTGCCTGACCTGAACACAAACAGAGGAAAGAGTGTAATATCAGCACTGCATCACTGCTTGTAATCAGTGGACTATTGGAAAGAAAACCACAAACAAGATTCTCAAAATACAAGAGCTGACAGAATAAAATAAAGCATTCCTGTTAATGCTAACTATATGGAGGTAAAACCTCCAGTCTGATGGAAGCAAATTTAACACACGTAGTATTTTCAATGCAGAATGGACCGTTTCACAAATAATATATTGTATGAATTCATAATTACTAATCAACTAATGTTACAGCTGAAAAAGGTGAGATTAATTGCAACCACTTTATATACTCCTGGGTACCTTAATCTCTAATAAATCATAATTTATCAGTTGATTATGTTTAATGTTATCAAACTAAAGCTACAAAACCAGTGTAATGGAGTAAAAACAGTGCGACATTTGTAAATGAACTGCAGTAGAGTAGACGTGTAATGTAGCACAATGCAGGTTCCCAAATATTTGTACTGCTGATCTGGTGATCACGGATTTGGGGGAACTCACCTGTTGCCATCGGACTTTGAGTGCAGGGTCCCTGAGGGTCTGACAGTGCTTGTGGATCTGTTGAATGACGCCCTGGTAGTACACAACAGAGGAGTCATAGTTTCCAAGCAGGGCGTACTCGCGGCCTTTCTTGGCGTTGTCACATATCTCTGCCAGATTCATGCTGAATAATAGCTACATGATGAGGGGGGAAAAAAAACAAGTGATTAGTTTGACTGGAAGAATGATAGATGTGAGTTAGTTGCAGTTTAATTTGAGTAGTAAATCACATTATGATGAACCATAGACGTGACAACAGACCTGCAACATGGAAGAACCTCCAGAACAAGCTGAAGCTAATTTTTATGCTTAAAGGGATAGTTAGTTAGTTAGATAGCTTTTTTTTGTACATGTACATAGCTTTTGTTTTTGTTCTTGTTTATCTCTATGTTTGTTTGTTTTTTAACTGTTTGTACTAAGAGAGCTAAGTAAAACCGGAGTCAAATTCCTCGTGTGTGTTCACATACCTGGCAATAAAAGTGATTCTGATTCTGATTCACCCCAAAATGAAAATTCACTCTAAATAAATAGTGACACGTTGTTCTTTTTTTTAGTAAATGCATTTGTTTTAATTGCTTAATGCTTTGAATTAATTTCGAAGTGATGTGTTTATTCCCAATGCAAATTGAACCGTCTCTTATTTGTTTATCTGTTCAGTTAAAATAGGTCGTTTCACCGTTTTTAAACTGTCCTGGTTATTCAGCTGCCAAAAACCTGCTCCACCCGGTGTGAAGCACGGAGGCTTAGCTAGCTGGTAGCAGGGAGGAGGAGGTGAGATTATAAACCTCTCAGTGCATCACTGCTCCTCCTGTCGCCTGCAGCCTGTCACACGTTAGCTCCTGCTAGCTAACCGCTGCTGGGCCACAGACACACACAACGAGACGCGGCGCGAAGCGGCAAATAAACGCGGTCAATCCTCTCAGGCGGTTGAACAGACTAAAAAATAAAAACAACCGGGGTTTATTTCACATTGTTGAAGCGAAGGTGGAGCTCGTACCTGCATGAACGGCGCTGCTGTGGTGTCTCCGTGAACCGCGGCTCGGTGCCGGGGGAAGTGTTACCATGGCCGCGGAGGGACGCCGTTAGGAATACACACCGCGCTGCGTTCACAGACCCGCAAACAAGCTCGTAAATATCAACGCTGTCCGCAGATGTCACCGACTGCGAGCAGCAAACAGTCGTGTTTGTTTGTTTCAGTGGTGCAGCACACGTTTCAGACAGATCATATATACGTGTGTATTCTGCAAAAAGTCACACATGCAAATACAGAAGCGCGCTGCAAATTGCAAAAAAAACCTCAATGAAAATGTGATGAACCTGGAAGTGGTTTAACAGTAGTAGTTTACAACCTCAGTGACTCCAGATTCGTCTAATTGATGAAGAGGTTTTCTGAGTTTGCGTGTGTTTTTGCTATTTGCATGTGTTTTCTTGCTCTCTCTGCCACAGTACATTTTTTTGGGGGGGGGGGGGGGGGGAGTGGCTAGTTTATAGAGTTTCATCATCTGAGCTGAGGCTGGGCATGAAGTGATCCCTGGTTGGTGGAGGGACTCACTGTGGTGACCTTGGTTCTCTGAGAAGCACAAGTGAGATGTCTCTTTGTTGCTGTGTCTCAATTTGGGAGCTGCATCCTTCTGAGGCATTTGAAGGCTGATTGCATCACAGCGCCACAACAAGGCTAGACTGTTCCAATTTGAAGGCTCCTCCAAATGCATCCTTCCATCCCCCGAGCAGCGGAGGCTCCACAGGTTGGATCCTTCCCGGCCCAACATATCCCATGATACATTGCGCTTCAGTGATGAAAAGTTCTTCAAAGATCATCATAAGTACAGTTATAATGATGTGTTGACTCTGCCTCTGTAGTCGCCTCACATGTCTCAGTCTGAGGCCTTTCTGGCTTCTCATTGATGAACGCAACACATTTTCCGGCTGCGTTTGAAGAAGCATTCAATGGTATAACTCTAATATACTGACATGTATTCTTATGTGGAGAAAATGTCAACATATTTCCCACATGTTTAAGTTATATCGATTAAAAATCTATAAACAAGACTGAAACATGCAATGTTTGCTTAATACATAAGGAAAACTTTTCCAACCACTTTTATTGATTTGCAGCTTTATATTCTTCCAATTCTTTGTGCCACTGGTAAACATTTGCATTATTGAACACATGCAAAAAAGTACCAGTCAAATATGGGTTAGTTCTGACATCATAAAGCTGAAAATGTTCATATTTATATTACAGCATCAAAACTCACAGTTTTAGAAATTGCATGTCACTGTAAAACATTTATAGAGAATGTTTACTTCACAGTTTATCTCACTGGTCCCTTTATGCACAGTGAATCTGTTTTTTCCCTTTGTTTACTGTCTGCTTTGGATTCTGAAAGTTGTAGTGCTACTAGACGGCTGCATTTTTTAAATTCATGTGCATAATAAAACGTACTCTGCAATGCTGTGAGTGATCATGAACAGTTTGACATTCTCGTCATAACTCCAAATCGAGTCGTGCATTCCAATGAAATGTTGATTCAATACTGTGCAAACCTAAATATACATTATTACCCATACTGTCACAAGCTGTGCCTTACAGTAGGAAGGGGACCAAAATCATAAGTAGCATTTGTTTCTTTTAGAGGTCAACGTTTGAAAGCTCAACTCAATGCTGCATTTCTCAGCATCTTTATTATCCCTGACAATGGGTGACCTTCATATAAATCCCTATAAGATGGAGTTGACCTCAGCATTGACAAGCTGCTTCTTCCTGCTCTCTGTGGTTCCACAGACCCCTCACACCGCTCTCACTCAGCTGCTTCAGTCTCAGAGGTTTGTGACTCTTCAGCCTATAAGCTATCGTCAGAAAAATGGCATCGACATGCTCCTTCTCAGCAGGGTCTTTGGCTGAGGTCTCAAACAACGGGAAGTTGTATCTGTCAGCGAGACACTGGGCCGCCGCTGTGGAGACCTCCCTGCGGTCCCTCAGATCACACTTGTTTCCCACCATGATGCGGGGGACCAGGGGCCCCACACAGTGTCGGCTGCATTCCTCAATCCACTCTGGGATGCTATCGAAGGATGAGAGGCTGGTCACGTCGTACACAAAGACAACTGCGTGGACGCTGCGGTAGTAGTGCTCCACCATGCTCTTCCTGAAACGCTCCTGACCTGCCGTGTCCCAGATCTGCAACTGGCACAACAGAAACAAACAGTGATATAATATTCAAATTATAATAGTCAAACAGTGATATAATATTCAAATTATAATAGTCAAACAGTGGTGTTACTGTAAATTTTTCATATCGTCAACCAACACTAAGGAAACACTGAAACCAACAATATCTCTCAAAGCTCTCATCATCCCTACCCCCTTCGGTTTCTCAGCTCCAAGCCTGATTGTTCCTGCTGAAGACATTAATATTTATTTAAAAAAAGCTTTAACACTACTGTAGTATTGAAGGTACATTTTACCCAGTGCAACAGTGTGATATGCTCTTCTTTTTCCAACAACAATGAAGGCCTAATTGGGGGGAATAAAACACACACACACACACACACACACACACACACACACACACACACACACANCACACACACACACACACACACACACACACACACACACACACACACAAACAAGCCTCAGACTGAGGTAAATGTGAGAGAACTTCAGAGTCAACACATCATTATCACTCTTCTTATGATGCCAATGTAAAAACCTCAAAGTGCAATATGTGTAAAGATAAATATGTAAGTAACTGTTAACATTGAAAACACATTCTTAGTCAATTTACTCAAACATAAGAATAAACCTGACTTTTTACCTGATATGTAATGGCTGTGGGACGATTAGACTGCAGTGTGTTGGAAAAAGTACATCTGATATTCAGATTCAAATGATACATTGCAAATAAAAGCCAACAGAGATGTCATTCAGCTTTATCTAATCTTTCTTGAGTTGCAGTTGAGCATTTATTGGTCCATGCAGGACAGGTCACCCACCATCTTCATCCAGCTGCAGGTCAGACTCTCCTCCATGTTCACATATGGACCACGGCTCAGAAAAGATGGCTGAATACATGGAGCAGGAGAATGAGTTGTGTGACGGTGTGTGTTCGTGTGTTCGTGTGTTTTCCTCTCACCTTGACACTCTCTCCATCCAGCTCCACAGACCTCTCTCTGAAATCGACCCCGATCGTCGCCTCGGGGTTTTTCAGGAAGGTGCCTCCGCAGAACCGGTACGTCAGACACGTCTTCCCCACGTTCGAGTCCCCGATCACGATGATCTTAAAGGTCCGAGCCTGCGTGGTGTCATGGTCGTGTTGTGCAGAAAGCTCCAGAGAATCGTTTCTACTGAAAACTGTGTGAAATTCCTCCTCAGCTCTGTTTTCTTTTGCCATTTCTCCTCATCTCGCGGTCTGGAGCCGGACTGCGCTCAAATATCGCGAGAGTTGGAGAGACCGCAGACGGACGAGTGTTGTCTGCACCGTTACTCACAGACTGAACATGAGGTTAATCACTTGACATACTTTTCACTACATTGATCATTTATTCTGCCAATAAACCCATGTTTCTCCTTTTAAATAATTTGGTTAATTAATGAGTTTATCAAATAGCTCATTAAAAATGTCAGGCAAGGCAGTTTTATTGATATTAACATTAAATCAAGTATTGAAATTAAATGTTTAAATAGGCAATACTTGGCTAAACTATGACATTATCAAGTGTGACCTTCATTTTTACCCTGTTGTTGCCGTATAAATAATTTTATTTACTACAATTTTGAAAATAAAATTACAAAAACTCACTCACATGTTCTTCTGCATCAGATACAGATGTTTAATTAACACACACACATACATACACAGACACACACCTTCAACCTCCCATCATAGAGAACAACAAGATCTACACTCATTTACCAGTTTATTAGGTACAACTAACTAATAGTCTCAAACCACAGCATTCTCATAAATATGTTTTAACTCAACTCAATCAACATTTTGGAGGCTGCACTGTGTCTAATATTCTGTCTACAACATTTATATCAATGAGGTAAGACAGATTATAAACCGGTAAGTGAGTGTACAGGGCAGTTGTTGAGGCCAATGGCTTTACGACAGTTGGAGACATGCAGAAGAAAATTCCTCACATAAAATAATGAATCAGGACTCAACAGTACAACTCAAAACACCTCGTGGGTCAATTTCTAATTGTAACATAAATGTTAAGTTAAAAAAAATCATAGATACAAAATCATACACAATAAAATAGTTTAAAATAAATTTGAAATCAACATCTTTCACAATTTCACAACATCTCCAAAAAAAAAAAGAAGTCAATCATGGCATACAGGCTTTTGTTTAAAGCCTAAACCTGAGTGAGCATAGTAAAATGGCTTCTACATTTCATACAGTGGTTTTTGCTGTGTGCCACATCAGGATGTGCATCATCAGCGTTAGAAATACTGCAAATTCTTAAGCCCTGTAAATGACTGTTAGTGTGAACGTGAGTCACTTGAGCTGCCTAATGTTCCAAAGGTCACAGTCACGACTTTACATCGATCATAGGCAGGACTGCTCCTGCATTCCAGCTAAATATTATGTTATTTGTCATGTTATTAGGATTTTCAAGTCTTAATATAACACAGCATGAGCCCAAAGTCTTAAAGCATTAAAGGAGCCCTCCACTGGTTTAACACAAACATGTCAATTTCCTTATTATGGGGAGTACTACTCTGTATGTGCAAACAGTTTCAAATGTTTAAAGTCTTTTGTATCTCAGGACAAGCTGTCCAGTCAAAAATACATGGTGGAAGGATGAGACATGGGCCAAAAAAAACAAAAGACCACACATTACATTTTGGGACAGACCTGGAGAAATGTGTGGATCCAGGAATTATTTTTCTCTTTCTTTAACATTGCGAGACAGCATGGTTTTTCACCAATTTCCCAGGGAATCATTCACAGATCTTTGTGATGGTTTGATTGAATTTAAGGGGACTGTTAGGTCTTGGTGATGATGTGTTGCCATTCTAACTACTTTCCATAATCGTTTGTGGAGGGGTGGACATGACTCAAGGAAGAATCCCATGCAATTTTGGAGCAGATCAAAATAAACGGGCAGATCCGGGACTCTTTCTTTACTGCCTTTAATGAGGCAAATTTTTTGTAACATTTTCTTAAATTAAAAAAAAAATTATAATATCTGATACAGGGACCTGATCTCAATACCTGCAATAATGCTACACAGCATGTGCTGAATAATTATGGTAGATCCTCTACTCTATAGAGGAGACTTTTATTAGACAGTTATGTATCTGACAAGTATTTCTGCACCAAGACTCTACAAGACGTCACGCTGTCCCTCCTGCTCGCAGATCATAGTACAAAGTGAGGAACAAAGCCACTCGCTCTTGGCTCTTGGTCTCACTGTTTGAAAAAGACAGAAAACAATGAATGAAACCATTCTTGCTTCTTTCCCCTCCCTTCTCCAGTGAATAGTCAGATTTGTAATAGAAAACAAAAATGTCAAAATTCCTTCTTCAAAACAGCTGTGCTTCCTACTCTCAATGACTGGCTTTAATACTGACTTTAATCTAGATCTGTGACTCCCCCTTGCAGACAGAACCCTGTAAATATCCTTTAAATCGCATATAACTTAAACTTTTCTTTGACACAGTGACGCATTTCACTACCAGTTCTCATCTGAGAAGGAGCTCGAGCTACCAGAGTCAGAATCTGCGTCTGTCAACCCATCAAAGTCCCAATCAGCACTGGAGCCACTGTCGTCGTCGTCCTCTGTAGAGAAGCTGTGAGCCGAGCCAAGGCAGGCTGGGTACACGCGTGTCGAAACGCACACGGGCCCCAGTGTGGACACGTACACTGCCATGACGTTCTTCCAGGTGTCCTTGGCTGGGTCATACTCGTGGATGAGGACCCTGTTTTTGTTGTGCTGCAGTAAAGTCTGAGTGAGGAGCAGCAGCTTGTTGTTGTGCTGGATCACCTGGTAGTTAAGAGCTCGACTGTCAATAGGAATGTCACCCAACCTCTTCCATTCCCCCCTGGTGGGACTGTAGGCTTTCACCACGGGGATGTCACACACGCAGATGATCTGGTCCTGAAACACACAGGCCTTGTGAAGTTTGTCCCGTCTTAATGACCCGCAGTGACGCCAGCGGTTCCTCTTGGGGTCATAGCAAAGCATTCTCCTTTTGTTTACCACGTAGAGCTGGTCGTTCAAAGCCACCACCTGCATTTTACCCAGAGAGTGAGGCAGAGGGGCCACAAATGTCCACTGGTTCCTCTGGACGCTGTAACACTCGACCTCCTTCAGTCTGGTGTCCGTCACTGGGTTCCTTCCTCCCAAAAGGTATACGTGGCCGTTGAGGTAGCCCATCCCGGAGTGTATCCTCCCCAGAGGTCTCTCTGCCAGCTCCTGCCAGCTGTTGAGCACAGGGTTATACAGCCAGAAGTGTTTGGAAAGGTGGGAGGCAAGGTACAGGTTGTTTTCAGGTGTGGCACAGGCGATTAAGGACTCCATGGTGGAGCGTTTGTAATCCTGACTGCTGAGGTCTTCCAAAGGGGGAGCCATGAAATACAGGTCCTCAGAGTATGGGTCACAGCACATGATGTTGTCGTTGGGCAGGCCGAAGAAGAGGATCATCTCTTTTGCACTGACGCCTATTCTGTGTTTTGCTACCTCCTTTGCTTCAGACACGCCACAGCTGTCCTCTGTGGACCTGTTGAAAAAGCATTCGAGGTATTTCTCAATTACAGGCCTGGCCATGAGGCCCTCCAGGTAACACTTGTCCTTTTCGGTGAACAGGTTCCAGCGAACACACTTAAGCGCCTGCAGAGCATCCTCCCTTCTCTGCGGTGCATTCGCCTCTATCCACTGCAGAGCTGCCGAACACACCTTCCTCTCACAGTCCACGTCCAAAGCGTCCAAAGACAGCAGGTCCCTGAGCTGCAGCAGATCCAGTTCACACAGCTCCCCACCGCTGCACAGCTGGCCGAAGTTCCTCGCTATAAACGCCCGCGCGCTCTCCTTCAGCTCCGGGTTGTCGTAGGTGTCTGCAAACTTCAGCAGCCCCACACAGTTGGAGAGGTCCAGCCTCCGGGTCATGAAGCTGGAGCAGGCCCTCCGGATGTACTCCAGCTGGAGCATGTTGGCGGCCGCGTACAGCCGCTGGACGTTGCCCTCAGTGACGGTCACCCTGCCGGTGTAGCAGTACTCGATGATCACCGACATGCTCTCCGGGTCCACGCCGCGGATGAGCACTCGCTCCTGCACGCTCTCGTTCAGGCCGCCGGTGAACATGCTCTTGAAGTAGGGGCTGGCGGCGGCGAGGACGTTGCGGCTGCACAAGAACACTCGGTCCGGGTCGCCGCCGGTCGACCCTCCGCCGGGCTCCAGCGGCTCCTCCTCACACTCGACGCCGATGGTGACGTCCCCGAGCAGGCGACAGTCGAAGAGCAGCTTGAGCTCGTTCACCAAGCCCCGGGCGTGATTCGCATCCTCCAGCACCTCGGGTCCGCTGAAGAAACTCAGAGACGAAGCCATGGCTGCGGCTTCACTGGGGGGTTTGGTGTTTACCTTCAAAAGACATGATCCGAATAATGACACATGCTGCTCCCGGGTGGAAATCACACATCAGCGGCTGAAGGCTCCGCCGCGTCTCCGGACACTCTGCGGGCTCCACGCGCTCATAATGTGGCTTTTAAACCAGAGACAGTCCGCCGATGGTTCAGATTTAGGTTTCTGTGAATATTTCTACTACTCACTGTCTGATTTCTGTCTTCAACGCTGAAGTCATCAGGACAGAAAATGTGTCAAAGTAGATAAGGTTGGAACGACGTTTTCCGGGAAAAAAATTTTCAAAGTTAAAACTCAAGTCATTTTGTGTTGCACGCATTTTTATTTATTTCACTCCAATTCCAATTAAAAACACATTTTGGTCGTTTTTAAATCTATTGTAAGCGTTTGAAGTATTTCCATGAGTTATATTAGTCTTTCACTTTCAAACAGAAGAAAGTGCAGTCTTTTATTTTGAAAGGTGTCCTCCTCTGGGTTCCGCTGGGGGTCACTGCTCGTTCACACAACCTTGCTAACAGGCTTCTGATTGGTCTGTGTAACTAGGTCAATTTATGTTGGGTTGTTGTTGATAATATCATTTAATCAAAGCCATTAAAGACAAGAAGGATTTCTCTTTCAATGGCTTCTGGTTGAAATAAGAGTGTATTTACTATTGTTATTATTATTGTTGTTGTTGTTGTTGTTCAATTAAGTTCAATTAAGTATCTATCTATCTATCTATTAATACTATTATGATTATTATCATTAGTAGCAGTCGTAGAAGCAATAGTATTAGTAGTTTTCAAGTTTCAAGTTTTCTTCGTAATATGCAAGTGAACACAGGGTCAACAGTACAATGCAAGGTATAATATCATGACATATTCACACCTATTATACCTTTTTTTGAGCTTATTGTATTGTATGTAACACAATACTAAACCATACTACTGTACTATATTGTATATTAATGTATTAGCACTTTTTTGTCACTTCACGTCAACATGTTTTACTGCTGAAACAAAGTTTTCCTCTTTGGGAAACTACATAGTGTTTGTGCTAGGTGCTATTATTTTGAAGATTCAAGATTTTGAGGGCAAAGTGGCATAAATGGAATAATAGGTTTTTCCTCATTATTGCAAAGCTTTAATTTCATACAACACAAGTCCTACACATCCCACGACATTCACATGTTTTATTACTGACCGTGTCAAAGTCAGAAATATGCATTGCATCGTCACCCAAACTCAGGTGTATCTGCGGTTGAGCTCGTTGATCCTGTTCAGGGCGTCCTGGTTGTGGATGGTCTTGTGGACTGTGATGAGGAAGGGGAAGGCAGAGGGCAGCTCCACCCTGTGGCTCAGCTTCTGGTGACCCCAGTGGAGACAGCGCAGCCTCTCAGCCAGGTCCCGTCTGCCGGCTTGCTCCAGACCATCCTGCAGCAGCTTGGTCTTATTGGGCTTGTCCCATGACTTCTCATACCTGCATTGTGAATTGAAGGGATGCTTTTGTATCTGATGAAGGGAGGGAGGTCTGAAGAAAGTCCAAAAGTCAAAGTCGACAAACTGACAAAACTTAGCCATAGGAAAACTCCTGAGTGCGTATATATCTAGTGAATTATGCAATTTAAAATTTGTTTAAGAACTAAGAAAACATACAATGGGATCTATATATCCCATATATGACATAATGTTATGTATGCATCATATTTGAGTTTTATATTGGTTTGATGACACTATAATCAACAGTATCTGCAGGCTGACAGTGAATAAATCCAACCACTGCAGAGTTAAACACATGCACACACACTGTACCAGCTCTCCAACATGGCCCTGGACTGCACACTCTTCTCTTTTGATCTGGTGTGGAACCGGCTGATCTCAGTTCTGTTGAAGCCAAGTTCAGATGCTAGAATGGTCCACTCAAAACCAAGCTGAGTGGAAATCTCCTGCAGCGTCTTCAGGTTAATCACAGCATCCTTAGAAAAGTGACATGCAAAATCAGTTGGTGAGGATTTAGAAAAGAAAAGCATCAAATGAAATATCTTTGCTGATTAAAGATACAAGGAAGTGAAAATGCGAACATATTACACTCACCTCCTGAGCTTTGTTGGGCATTATCTCAAATTCCTGGAGATCAACGGTGCAGGTCACTTTCTCAGTCCCTTTTTTCATAAATACAACTAAATTTAATTTTGTGACAATGATTTAACATAAATGTATGTGGTCATAAGCTCCTAATAGGAGAGAGAGAGTTGATTCACCTACCTTGTTATGTACATTAAATCGAGTGTGGTTTGTGAGTTACTGTGGAGATTCAACATCAACACACTGACCTGTTAAACATTAGTCACATTAGTTCTCTAGGGTCTTGTGTGAAGCTATTAACTATCAGGTTAAACTGCTTCCACCTGCCTCCAGGTAAACAAGTGTACTCTGTTAAAAGTGGACTTCATACTTGGGGGAATATCTCATCTGTTGTTAGTCTGGTTAGTATTTAATTATATATTATACCTACACTTAAGTATTAGTTATTATTACTAACTGATGCCTATTTTTGACTCTTGCTGCTGTAATATTGCAAATTTCCCCATTGTGGGACAAAAAAAAAGGCTTATCTCATCTTTTTGTCTTTGTTTTTCCAGTAATGGACAGTAATGTTGTCTCCTCCAGTTTTGGACATGTAGAGTGGATTTCCAGAATTTGCACTCAGTAGTGCACATACCTCGGCCAAGATGCAACAGTTCCCTTAAATTGAATCAAGCAGCACCAAATTTAACTCACAGATATTAATTCCCTAAATGTGCCTATCTTGCAATGTTAAAGACAGTAAAAAAAATGATTGCATCTCCTTGATCTGGATTTGCACCAAATATAAAAAGAATTAATTAAAATATCTAAAAGAAATTATCTAATAAGTCGTGTTGCGCCCTACTTTATCTCAAACATTGGTCTTGCACCTTGATGGCAAAACTCTAGATCAAGATATTATAATTATTTTCTGAAATATATAAAAAATAAATACAAAAAACAGTTTTCAGTTGAGGATCATGTTCCTGGATTCTATAACATTTGTTGGTGGTGACCAAACTTGGGACCAATGTTTTGTTTTCAAAATGATAGTTTTAGCTTGATGCTGCAGATTTAGTTATACTTTATTAAAATGTTAACTGTCCCATTTATATAAACACATACACATTATTAACAAATATCAAAACATATTACTGCCAGTGTATTGCTGCATCTAGTGGAGTAACAATGCTATCTGCAATCTCTTTCATTTATTTTCCAATTTCCTAGATTCATGACTTTAATACAGGTTATATTTATTTAAGACAGACACAGAAAATATAACATTATTGAGAGAGGCTTTTATTCACTTAAAAAAATCACCTCCTTTTTAGATTCTTCTCATCCATAAAAAGCATCAGGATCATATGTGCAATATCATTGCAGCGATTTTGTTTTTATCAAAGACCATTAAAAAAATCACAGCATGTAATGTAAACAATGATGAAAAGAAACTGGCCAAACACTGATAAAACGAGCACGCTCACATTAACAAATGTCATAATTCACTTTAACTTAAGCAGATTTATTTTACGTGTTAATCATGATTCTGATCAAAAGTGCGGCGAGGTCCAGCCAATAGATACAAGTGTCGTGAATTACACGGTTTTTAAACAGGCACAGGAAGTTACTTAATTCCAATTTCAGGTTCATTTTTATATCTGATGTCAGAGTCTGACATGGTCTGATGAAATCATTGGAAGCATGTACAAAAGCATGAGCTAACTTTAATAACCTTTCACCTGGACAGAAATGTTCATTCTGTTGAATGAAAGCCTTAAGTTTCCACAACAATAAATCAAAAAACACATTAAAGGAGATCCAGTTCACATTTAACAGCTGATTATTAGAATATTGCCACATTGCGAGTCAGTCTGTGTTTCAGCAGATCGTACAGTAGAGATCCAGCCCGCTGGACCCAAAGTCTTCTCAGTCTCTACTTTGTCCTTCAGTAAAGACAAGTGCTTTAAAAAAAAGAAAAGAAATCTTAACAGTCACTCTCTCTTGGGTCTCAGCCCAAGACTGGGAACCCTTAAATCATCGGGGTCCCATTGCAGCATTACCCTGTGTGCACGTCAGGAGCTTCTGTTTATTCTGGGTCAGTAGCAGCCATCTTTCCAGCTGCCGTCCCTCAGGGCGCTCAGGGCAGCCATGGTCTTTGGAGGAGTCAATAAACTACAGACACAGAGGAACGAGTCAATGGAATCTCTACTTCAGCAGGTTTAACTTGCCTTCAGTTTTTGAACTTTACTGACAGCGCCTCACTCTGGACAAACCATGTAAATGTTTTAACACATGCTGTGTCCATGTCCACACGGTATACTAATCGTGTTCACCATAGAGCTGCAAGCAACAATAATCTTCATCATCAAACAATTTGGTAACATATTTTTCAATGGTTCAAATATAAGAAATATATGTTTGGCTGATAAACATCAGAAAACAATAACTAATGCCCCACTTCAATCTGTACACTGGTTTGAGTACAGTTTATTTTATTATTTTTCTTTCTTAAAACTGCTGCAGGACAGTTAGAAAAATGTAATAGTAGATGCAGAAGAACCAGAGATAAAATATTTTTTGTTCCCTGAATGCTTCTTCCCATTAAAAACCCTGGTGCATATTTTGCCCACCTTGATGTATAAAATTGGCTCAGTGTGACTTTTCTTACCTGCGTGTGGGTGGGGTGATTTTGCTCGGTCGTGGAACTCCACTTGTCCCTACAAAGGAGGCTGGACGAGGGAGGGAGCTGCGAGGGACTGCCGGTTGGCTGAGGCCACCTTTCAGGGGCTGTGGTACTAAACTGTTGCTGGGTTTTAGGGGCTGAGGCAGTGCTATGCTGCTCGGGATGGAGTGCAGACTGGCAGAGGTGGTCAGAGGGGTGGAGGCGGGGCCCTGCTGCACCGTGGGGCTCACGTAGGCTGTGGCTTTCAGCGGATGTCGGGGCATGGTGGGGAAGCTCGCCACGCTCTGGACTCGCTGAATGAGCTGGCCTGGGGAAGGAACTGAAACACGGCAAGAGAGTAACTCTTACTTCAGTAACAATATTGATAGTACTGCAATTGAAAGAACCATGCCTGCAAAAAAACAGCGCTCTCTATAAAAATAAAAGTGAGCCTTGAAAAGCTGATTCATTCATAGACGTGAGGGAAAGAGTCTTACTGGAGGACTGGAGTCGTGCGAGCCCGGTGGACGAGTCAAAGCTCTGGCTGTTCCGCAGGGAGGAGGATATAGTTGGCAAGGAAGAAGGGCCGTGGGAGGGTGGGTTGACAGGGGAGGCCAGGCTTGGAATGCTGGGAACACTGGGCATGCTGGGAGCTCGGATGAGGTTGGGCATGCTTCTCCGTAGCTTGTCTATGCAACCACATCAATAAACCAGATTGGGTTTTGCAGGTGTTGAGGTTTTGTTAAGATTTTGAGTCACAGTTCAAACAAATTGATTTTCTGGAAAATGCCAACGTCAATGAGACCAATCCTGCACATAACCCTCTAAACACCATAACTAATCTTTTCTTGGGTATTTTAGATATACTGTATATAGATAGATATTAGACCCCAACCGGTAATGATTTTT